CAGAAGGATGTAAAACTTGACAATAGAACAAATAATATAAATCAAGCACCATTAATTAATTGAACCATATTTACCAATTTGTTGTATATTAACAATAATCCAATCATTTGGATCAATTTTAAAGGTTATATTTTGATTTGGTTTTAACCAATATCGGGGTGCAGTATCGGAGAAATTCGGATTGGACTGCGTGGCAAATGTTATGGGTATCCACCACTCATTATTAGATTTCTGTCCGCAAACACATTTTTGAAATATTGTTATTTCACCAGTTGTGTAATTTTTCATCACGTTCACCACGGGATAACTGTTTTGATTCGTCCATGTATCCATTATTTGTTTTATTTTATAATGTCCGTGTGGGATATCAGATTTGTCTAAAACAGTTTGCATGGCGTTCCATAAATCATCCGGAGTAGTTGATTCATATTCACTAGAAAAAACGATCGTAATTTTTCATCACGTTCACCACGGGATAACTGTTTTGATTCGTCCATGTATCCATTATTTGTTTTATTTTATAATGTCCGTGTGGGATATCAGATTTGTCTAAAGCAGTTTGCATGGCGTTCCATAAATCATCCGGAGTAGTTGATCCATATTCACTAGAAAAAACGATCGTTAACATCATAGTCATGTATCGGGAAATGTTTAAGTTTACCATTGACGAATCTACGTGAATATTGATGTATAATTTAATATATAAATATCATGCATGCAAAAATTTAGAATATAACTGAAAATTAATTTGGTTAAATTATAATTATTAAAAAATAATGTGTGTATGGTCTATAATTGAATAGTAATCCGATATCTCAAGAGTGTGTAATTTTATGTTTCTAATAAAATAGTACACTTTTCATCATGAATAGAAAAGATATTATTACATTTATGATACTTAGTACTGTGATATATATTAGCCATTTGTTACATACTGCGTGGCTAATATATATATATATATATATATATATGTGTGTGTATATAAACGTATATAAAGAATTTATTAATGTACAATACACACACACACATACACACACACACACGCACACATATGTATATAAAAATTATTAGATCCTTTTATTTGAAATTATTGAGACATATTTTCAGATATTTATAATTATTTTTTCTTAAGATAACAAACACACACACACACACACACACACACACACACAGTCATTCAATTAATATTTGGCTAAAGTTTCGGAGAATGTAATTATATAAATTTCTTTTAAGTTTTTATAGATAAAATAATAAGTATAAAGTTGAATGACTTAAAACTTTTCAGAAGGATGTAAAACTTGACAATAGAACAAATAATATAAATCAAGCACCATTAATTAATTGAACCATATTTACCAATTTGTTGTATATTAACAATAATCCAATCATTTGGATCAATTTTAAAGGTTATATTTTGATTTGGTTGTAACAAATATCGGGGTGCAGTATCGGAGAAATTCGGATTGGACTGCGTGGCAAATGTTATGGGTATCCACCACTCATTATTAGATTTCTGTCCGCAAACACATTTTTGAAATATTGTTATTTCACCAGTTGTGTAATTTTTCATCACGTTCACCACGGGATAACTGTTTTGATTCGTCCATGTATCCATTATTTGTTTTATTTTATAATGTCCGTGTGGGATATCAGATTTGTCTAAAACAGTTTGCATGGCGTTCCATAAATCATCCGGAGTAGTTGATCCATATTCACTAGAAAAAACGATCATTAACATCATAGTCATGTATCGGGAAATGTTTAAGTTTACCATTGACGAATCTACGTGAATATTGATGTATAATTTAATATATAAATATCATGCATGCAAAAATTTAGAATATAACTGAAAATTAATTTGGTTAAATTATAATTATTAAAAAATAATGTGTGTATGGTCTATAATTGAATAGTAATCCGATATCTCAAGAGTGTGTAATTTTATGTTTCTAATAAAATAGTACACTTTTCATCATGAATAGAAAAGATATTACATTTATGATACTTAGTACTGTGATATATATTAGCTGTTGGAATTAATTCGTAACGTTTTACAAGTGATGGGAAGTACTTTCATTAATGTATTTTTTAATGCTCATGTGAAATAAATAACATTCTTTCATTAAAAACGCTACGAATTAATTCCAACACCTAATAATAAACATTTGTTACATACTGCGTGGCTAAATATATGATAAGACCCTTTCGAAATACCTCATCGGTGATAGTATTTTGTAACATACGCAATATAGTTGACGCTACAATAGCGCAATCAAATATTAATGATACAGACAAAGTACATATAAAATTAAGATAGATACACAATGTAATACACTTATGCAATTATAAAAAAATATAAAATAGAAAACTGAAACAAACAATTCATTTGTACAATATACAGGATGTTTCAAAATTTGCTCCATCGAAGTAAAAGACGTGATACTTTGTGCTAAAACAAACTTCGCGGGCGTGAATTTTGCAATATCCTGTATATTGTGCAAAAGAAGAATTTGTTTATTTCAGTTTTCTATTTTATATATTTCTTTGCATTGTGTACATTAAGAAATTTATAGATAACCTATCTATAATAGAAAATAGTTTAATTATATTTACATAATCTTACCTTTATAATAAATTATAAAAGAAAGCAAATCTAGTCTTTTAAAGTTATCAAATTCAAATGTGATAGGACTCAATTTGCCTTTATCTATCCTCAAGCAGTAGTGTAATATGTCAACCACAAAAAAATCCATTGTTCGCCAATCAACGAAAATCTGAAGAAAAATTAATATGTGGAGTGAGTGAAAATAAAAAATTCCTAATTAGAAATAAAAAATCAATGTGTTCGTTATTTCTAATTTTAAAACTTCGCAACTTTACTTTGTGACACCTACATTCAATTAAGTATTCCGTGTCAAATTTTTTAAAAAGAGTTATATCTGGTTAATTACTATTAAATATATTGGAGATTACTTAAAATTGTTCAATATTAGAATATAATTCTAAATTAAAGCACATGCTATATTTTATTTAATTCTATATATTATATATCTTAATACAGATGAAAATTTATTTAATACTAGTATCACATTTAAATGTTACATTAAATTGTAATTCAAAGTTTTTTTCAGTAATAAGGACTTTGCATTATATAATAATATTAAATGACCTTGTCAATGATGTATGTATGGAAGAACGAAGCAAGTCCCTCTTTTAACCACAGATAAGACCACCAAGACGGCGTGACCAAATTACCAAACCATTGATGTGCAATTTCATGTGTTACTATCGCTGCTATTTCTTTTTTCCTATTGGTTGGATATTGGTTAGCATCGTAGATAACTGATAATTCTCTGAAAGACAGAACGTAATATTAAATGTTCTTTGTGAATATGCAATCTAATGTATTCTTGAATAATTACGTTATTTGCGAATAATTCAGATATGTGAATTTTTTGTGTACATATATAATTTTTTTAATGTACAATAAGAATATTTTCTTATGTATATGAGTATGAAAAAGAGAGAAACCTCTGATGGCCTTGACCTTTAAATAAAATTATCAAAATTGTGATCTCCTGAACAATATTCAAAATGTTTTAAAAGTTGAACATCTTTTCATTATCCTAATGTCGCCAATTTTTTAAATCACATTTTTTAAATCTTATATATGTAATTCATAAAATATTTAATAAATAATGATGTTTTATATAGATTGTTTTGAAAAGCTCTTAAAGTAAGTTACAAGAGTTGTGCGAAAAATAGTGGATTATATATAAGAAAATATTGATCACATTGACTTGGCCTTGAATAGGCTCTTCCAATGTTCAATTTCATCACTTTCAGATAAGTTGCGGATAATGAACAAAAGAATTTTCTTTAATATAATCAGTTACAGAGTCAAAGAATATAATTAATTAAAAATTAGATTAACAAAATATCAAATGCGGTCACCTTTTCTAAAAATTGTATTTGGAATCGCGGTGATGGAAAATCTCGGCGATTTTCTCGGAAAGAGTCGTTTTATCGCGATTTCACTAAGCGATTAGCACGGCGATTTAACGAAGCGGTATAGTAGCGAGACTATGATTCTAAGAACTCGAAGAACTTTTAGAAATAAGAACTCTCAGAAGTCTAAGAACTCTAAACGGTGTAAACGGTATAAGCGGTGTAAACTATTTAAGCAATCTGCTCTGAGGACCGGCGAGATCGAAGCATGTATTGCTTTCGGTCTGGGCTTTCTTCTTGGAAGAAATCCAATTAAATTTTGCCACAATCGTAATTATCACGTGGCATTGGTTGTACAAAATTGATTGGCGCTTTCGATTCTTTTCTAGCGACGTTCAACGTAACAGTCATGCTTCGTACGCGGGATTGGTGACAGCGCGTGACGTATTCGTCGGAGCGCGGCGCTCGCGTGCGCGAATTGAATTGTTCTAGAACTTTCGATGGTCCGTTGCCGATGCCTGTTTGCGTGAACCGAATTGTTTTGAAAAGACTAAAGAACAATGAATCCCTGACTTTGACGAGGCTTAATGTCAGGCTCGAGATGAAATCACGAGCTCGCCTTGTGCGTGCGTTCAATAACAATTACTGTAGGTCGACCGAAAGAATTCTTTTTTTTTCGAATTACCGATCTCAAACAATATATATATATATATATAACATTTTAGATAATCTAAACATGAAAATATGTATTTTTTTATATCTGTGAAATACGCACACATTCTAAATTATCGAATTTTGAATACTAAGAATAATATTTGCGAATAGTTTCATTAATTTTTTTTTAATTACTTTTCGTGTAAGTGATGAGTCCCCAGTGTTCCATGTCCTTAACCGGAAAATTTGGTATGATGAAGTGATCCATTTTCGGTACCTTTTCGGAATTATTGATGTATTGGATCAAGAATGGCGTAACCATTTCAGTGATATTAAACATAAATGTCATTTGCGATATCAAAGACGATCTGCACCACACATTGATGGTTTCTTTCTCG